AAAGGATGAGAGTTGCATCCGAGAGAGGCGGACATGCTCTTTAGTGCTGGGTGGCTGGCCAGATGGCAGTGCAAGGGGCAAAGAATGGCTGAGGAAAAGGCACCTTGTTGAAGGATATTGTGCTGTGATATTTCCATGTTCTCCTGGAGGAATTTTTCTCTTGCTGTGCTGCAGAAATCCCGACAGCAATTCAACAAGAAAAATGCAAATAAGGTCACTTCTTCCCTACAGGACTGCAGGATGCCCGGAGAGAAATCCATGTCCTTGCTCGTCAGGGGTATTAGTTCAGCTACATGTGCATTTATTCTAAAATAACCCTGTGTTGCTTTTGGGTTTTTTGTTTGTTTTAAGCCTGATTATTTCTGTTTTGTTCTGCTCGGGCCACAGGAGCATTATTACTCTTAACTATTAAAATTACTCAACTCCTCAACGCCCACTGTTGGTTCTCGGGGTGGGGGGGAGACATGGCTGGGTTATAACCCAAAGGCATGGCTACGCATTCAGGTGCAGACGATCTCATGCTTACCGCAGCCTAGCTGTAAGCAGAGGGTGGCATCTCCTGCCTGCCAACACCCCTCCATAGCTGGAACCACGTTTGTCAGCTGCCATTGAGCCTGGCTGGGAGCAGCTAAAGTGGGTTGCACTAAAACATTTGGACATTCACGTCTTGGTCCCTTCCACTTCAGGAACGATTCCCAACGAAGAGGAGACTGAAGCCCGCTGTGCACTGCCTACAAACACAGACAGACAGGATGAGGAAAGCAACAACAGAAAAAGCCTTATTTTCCAGGAATCTGAACTGATCTAATCAGAGCCAAGTGTGAGCTGCAGCAGCTGCCAAACAGCTGTAGCCACCCCTCCTACCTTAGTGTTTGTGAGCCTGCCAAACTGCCAGTTAACCTGTTTCACTGCTCACTCATCAGAACAAGGAGGAAGGCAGTAGGTTTTATACGCTAAAGGGTCTGTGTTTTTTTCGGTTTTGGTTATTTTTCCCAACCCTCTTCTTTCTCAGCTTCACACGCTGCTCAAGATCATAAACTGGGGGACAACAACCACTATGACCACCAAACCTAAAATGTAGCCCTCACCCAAAAAGACCCAAAACACATTTCCCCAGTTAGTTCTAGTTCTGGAGATGGCCCTGAAGGTACAGTGGTAACGTCTGACCAGTGCCTGTATCTCCTCTCCTGGGAGCCAGAGTGAACGTGATGATAGGGGCAGGTGTGATTCACTTCTCCTTCAGCACATGCATGGATAGAAAGTGATGACAAGGAAGGAGATCGGCAGCCAAGATTGTCTTCATGATAAACCGTGCTGACTGAATAAAAGATGTTTTAAATAAAACAGATGGGGTGAGGCGGCGTTTACCCACATGAAATTTTGCCTGGTTTGTTGTTGTTGTTTTACAGTACAAATCTGCTTTACTTCCTCTCTTCTTCCTGTGAAGAAAAACAAAAGACAAACATGAAGGGGAATTAAACAGGGTAAAGTGAAATGCATTATTATTAGTCCCACCACAGAGCTCTGTCTTCTACGAAGCTGAGGTATTGCTGCTTCTTATTCCTGCCTCTACAAGTAGAAGCCAGTCAATAGTTCTTTTCCTGTTGACAAGTTCTGAACAAAAAGCAATTTTCTTCTATTTTTCACAGAAAGCAAATTATTTTTTAGGGCTACAGAGCTATATTGTTGTGTTTCGTTCAGTTCTTCTGGCCAAACACAGAAGCCATGACCTCACAGCACAAGAGCTCCCTATGCAAGTGTCCTTCAGCAGGCACATTATAGCAGAGGGAACCAGTAATCCCCAGTTGCCAACCCCTGTGCACATGAATAGACATGG